ACCAAGTTTGTTCAATTATCTGTACTGCATTCTATGAAAAGGTATAGCCAAATAACCAGAAAAAGGAAGCACAACTTGCTTAGGTTGATCTCAGGTAGCTTTCCTTCATCCGATTGTAGCCAATGAGCAGGAGTGTTTAGAGAGCCAATCAGGTGTCATCTTATTTTGGCAATGAGCCAATCAGATCACAGTAGGATTCGGTTCTTGATGTCCTGTATTGAAGCCGAGAGGAGGACATTTGTCAGTGTGTTATGTGATTGCCATCAAGTTGGTTGGGTTTTTTTTGGTGTTCTTTCATTTAGTGAGCTTGTAAAACGTAATAAAATTAAAGTCATGGTGCAAAGAGTTGACCGGTCACCCAGAAAGCGATGTAAAATAGAATTATTAAGTCAACAAGGCTAGAGTTATAAAGAAATGAGAAGAAAAACAGGTGGAAACTTAACCAAAGGTGGCATTTCTACTGTATACTTTTCCCAAAAGGTTTCCACAATTTTGGCCACTACTGTATGTATAGATCCACAAATATTGCACGCAGATTAGGAAGAAGAAGGGTTCAAATCTGTCTGCTATCTTCTGTAGCCTAACTTGGTGACTATCAGCTATTTCCATGTTGGAGAATCCTTTGTAGGCCAGCATGAGACAAGGCCAATAATTGCTTGGCCCCTCCTGAATGAGGGAGCTCTAAAATCAGAGAGCAGAAATGTTGAAATTCAAGGTGTACATGAATTCAACCCCCCCCAAAAAAATCAGTTTGGCTAACTAGAATCATAGAATCACAGGGGACCTCGGAGGTCATCCAGTCCAACCCTCTGCCCAAGGCAGGAGACCTTATACCATCCCAGAAAAATAACAACAACAACAACAACGATGACGACGACGATGACGACGATGATGTTGGAAAGGGCCTTGGAGGTCATCTAGTCCAACCTCTGCTCAGGAAGGAAACCCTATACCATTTCAGACAAATGGCCATCCAGTCTCTTCTTAAAAACTTCCAGTGTTGGAGTATCCACAGCTTCTGGAGGCAGGTTGTTCCACTGATTAATTGTCCTCACTGTCAGGAAATTTCTTCTTAGTTCTAGGTTGCTTCTCTCCTTGTTTAGTTTCCATCTGTTGCTTCTTGTCCTGCCTTCAGGTGCTTTGGAGGATAGCTTGACTCCCTCTTCTTTGGGGCAGCCCCTGAGATATTGGAACACTGCTATCATGTCCCCCCTCGTCCTTCTCTTCATTAAACTAGACATACCCAATTCCAGCAGCTGTTCCTTGTATGTTTTAGCCTCCAGTCCCCTAATCATCTTTGTTGCTCTTCTCTGTCCTCTTTCTAGAGTCTCAACATCTTTTTTACATCGTGGTGACCAAAACTGGATGCAGGATTCCAAGTGTGGCCTTACCAAGGCATTGTAAAGTGGTATTAACACTTCACTTGATCTTGATTCTATCCCTCTGTTAGAGTCAAGATCACGTGAAGTGTTAATACCGCTTTACAACGCCTTGGTAAGGCCACCCTTGGAATAATACTGCGTCCAGTTTTGGTCACCAAATGGATGTCCAATCTTTTCTTGAAGAGCTCCAGGGATGGAGCAGCCCCAACTCTGGGAGACAAGCTCTTCCATCGATTAATTAATTCCTCCTTATTTCCAGATTGGATTTTGCTCTGATGAGCTTCCACCCATGGCTTCTTGTCCTGCCTTCAGGTGCTTTGGAGAATTAAGTCAACGCCATCTTCTCTCTACTAGGAGCACAGGGTGGTGCCTAGAACAGAACTGTCCAACAGTGGCCTTAATTTTGCAAAGGGGTCAAAGAGCTTTGTGAAAGATGCTTGTGCCTAAAGCTGAAACTCTGTAAACTGTAGATAACAGGTACCTCGCTAACATAGATGTGTTCTAATACGTAATTTCTCCCCTTTGGTATTCTTCCAGCTCTCTGCATGAACGAAGAAGCATAAATGGTTTAAGTATCCCTTCTTCTGAGGATTGCATTTCAGAAAACAGTGAGTAAAGTTTTGTGACCGATTGTAATTCGTGCCGGAAAGGTGATCTTAAATGCCTTATTTGGGGAATTTAGAATGTCAAAAGGCCATAATTATAAAGAAAGGGTTTTATAGATGCTGAAGTTGAACATCTTATAATGTGTGTGTGTATGTGTGTGTGTGTGTGTGTGTGTTTAAAAAAGAAGGAAGTAATGTTTCCAACTGGTAGCACAGATCGTGACACATTTTCAGAGTAAGAAAAGGTAGATTGTGATGGTGTATTTATTTCCTGTAGAAAGCAGCAATCTTTCCATCATTGGAACACGAATGCATTTTCTTGCAGAGGGAATGTGTAAATTTTGCTTTGCCATGATAGAAAATAATATATTTAGCTCAAGGTTGAGCTGTGGGGTCCTGGGTGCTCTCTGAGCTTGGTGGTTTTCTTGCAGATGTTTCACGACCCAACTAGGTAATGTCCATCAGTGCTAGAACTTATTATTACATACTAGTCTAGTAATGAAAGATCTGCAACAAAACAGCCAAGCTTAGAGAGTGCTACTCCTACTCCTCCACTCCTCCTCCACCTCCTCCTCCTCCCCTTCTCCTCCCCTTCCTCCCCCTCCTCCCCTTCTCACAACCTCCACCGCCTCCTCTTCTCCTCCTCCTTCACCTCCTCCACTACCTCCTCATCCTCCCCTTCTCCTCCCCTTTCTCCCCCTCCTNTTCTTCTTCTTCTTCTTCTTCTTCTTCTTCTTCTTCTTCTTCTTCTTCTTCTTCTTCTTCTTCTTCTTCTTCTTCTTCTTCTTCTTCTTCTTCTTCTTCTTCTTCTTCTTCTTCTTCTTCTTCTTCTTCTTCTTCTTCTTCTTCTTCTTCTTCTTCTTCTTCTTCTTCTTCCATATCCGTTATCGGACGTTGGCGATCATGTTGGCAATCCTGTTTTTATCAGCAGCCACACGAAAAAGTGCTGTTGAGTTTTGTCCAAACCAGTCCCTTAGATTTTGAAGCCACTATGTTCTTCTTCTGCCTGGACCTCATTTGCCTTCAATCTTTCCCTGGAGGATTAAATGGAGTATGCCGTATTTTTCTGGGTGTCGCATCACATGTCCGAAATATTTTAATTTTAGTTTTTTAATTTTTTTGATGATTTCCCTTGGCTTTCCCAGGCGGCTTATCACCTCCTCATTTCTGATCTTGTCAACCCAGCTTATAGGTAAACAGCTGCCTGTAAATCCGCATTTCAAATGCTTCTAGTCTCTTCTGGTGGTCTTCTGTCAGAGACCAACTCTCTATTTCATAGAGCAGGATAGAAAAAAATATAGCCTCTGAAGAGTCTGATTTTCAATCTTAGTCCTTCTTTTCTCTAGACTGGCCATACCCAGTTCTTCATATGTTTTAGTCTCCTGGCCTTTCATCGTCCTAGTTGCTCTTCTTTGCATTTCCCCCCCCCCCAAAGTCTCAACATCTTTTTTTGTAGTGTGGTGAGCAAAACTGGGTGCAGTATTCCAGATGTGGCCTTACTCAGGCTTTATAAAACACTTCACGTGATTTTGATTCTATGCCTGTGTTTATACAACCCAGGATTGTATTAGCTTTTTTGGCTGCTGCTCATATTTAAGGGATCGTGTACTAGGACTCCAAGGTCCCTCTCACAGTTACTGTTTTTGAGCCAGGTTTTGCCTAATCGGTCCTTGTACCTTTGTTTTTGTTTTTTTTTCCTGCCTAAGCATAAACCCTTGCTTTTCTCCACATTAAATTTCATTTTATGGGGCCCATTGTTGTTATTAGCATTGTGTTTTGTGGGAAGAGGTTAGTCGGGGCAAAATCTGACCCGCCTATTTGAGGGCATCTTTGCCTCCGCAAATGGGATTACTTATAAGAGTTATTATTATTATTATTTTTTTTGCATTGCAAACACAGACAGTAAAGTTCCTGGCTGCTGGAAGACTGATCTGATCTGATTAAATATATGCTTGCTGGGTTTTTAGCTCATCTAATTAAGAGTGAAGGGCAAGTTTCAACAGCTTTGCGCGCCGCCGATCTGAAATCTGACATGTTGCTTGTCTGCAATTTAGAGACATCGCTTTGTCTTGCTTGCAACTTCAAGCATGGAGATGTGGATTTTATTATTATTATTTTTTTAACCTTTAGTTCTTCAACAGGAGGGAAGGAAAAGATTAAAAAGGGCAAAAAAGAGAGAACAGAATAAAAGAATAGCATGCATGATATGCGTAGAAGTTCTTCTCCCATGTGACTATAAGGAAAACAATCCCTGTGGCAGTTTCAATAAAGGATTATTCATATTTCGCTGGGATCATCTATAAATAAAGTGTTCATAAGCAGATCATTTATGTGTTGCAAGTAATATCAGATCTAGAATCTACGGAGCAATGGGAGCCATTGGCCTAGGATAGGGGTAGGCATCCTTGGCTCTTTTATGACTCGTGGACTTCAACTCCCAGAATTCCTGAGCCAGCATGGCTCAGCTTGGAAACCTCTACCTTTCCCCTCAGCATGGCTGGCTGAGGAATTCTGGGAGTTGAAGTCCACGAGTCGTCAAAGAGCCAAGGTTGCCTATCCCTGACCTAGAGGAACATATGAAAGCATAGTTAATGTTAATTAATGTAGACTTTATTAGTTTAGGGCAGGGGTAGGCAACCTTGGCTCTTTTATGACTCGTGGACTTCAACTCCCAGAATTCCTGAGCCAGCCTGGCTCAGCTTGGAAACCTCTCCCTTTCCCCTCAGCATGGCTGGCTCAGGAATTCTGGGAGTTGAAGTCCACCAGTCATAAAAGAGCCAAGGTTGCCTACCCCTGACCTAGAGTAATGAAAAGAGGGAATAGGGAAGGCATGATAGTAGTGTTCCAATATCTGAGGTGAATGAATGCCAGAAATTGAACGGAGTTGGCACATTAGGCCAAAATGCAAGCCAGGATTTTTCTGCAGGTCAGAACTGATATTTAGTCACAAAGGACCAGGTGTTAGAGATAAGGGGTGATGCCCTGAGCATGTCTGTCTGTTTTATTTTCCCAGGAGAACTAGCTGAAGAAAAACCACCTCCCATTTCTCCTTATGGCGAGACCTTCCTTATGAATTCTCATGAAGAGATGGTGAGTTGTTTGCTACCCAGAAGTCTGCAGTTGCATTCCAATAATGGCAAAATGGTTGAATGTAAGGGAGAGAGAGAGAGAGAGAGAAAGAGAGAGAGAGAGAGAGAGAGAGAGGGAAACTCCAAGGAAGGAAGGAAGGAAGGAAGGAAGGAAGGAAGGAAGGAAGGAAGGAAGGAAGAAGGGGAATGGAGGGAGAAGAAGGAAGGAAGAAGAAAGGAAGGAAGGAAGGAAGGAAGGAAGGAAGAAGGGGAATGGAGGGAGAAGAAGGAAGGAAGAAGAAAGGAAGGAAGAAGGGGAATGGAGGGAGAAGAAGGAAGAAGGGAAAGAAGGAAGGAAGAAGAAGGGAAGGAAGGAAGGAAGGAAGGAAGAAGGGGAATGGAGGGAGAAGAAGGGGAATGGAGGGAGAAGAAGGAAGGAAGAAGAAAGGAAGGAAGGAAGGAAGGAAGGAAGGAAGAAAGAAGGGGAATGGAGGGAGAAGAAGGAAGAAGGGAAGGAAGGAAGGAAGAAGAAGGGAAGGAAGGAAGGAAGGAAGAAGGGAAATGGAGGGAGAAGAAGGGGAACGGAGGGAGAAGAAGGAAGAAGGGAAGGAAGGAAGGAAGAAGGGGAATGGAGGGAGAAGAAGGAAGGAAGAAGAGAAGGAAGGAAGGAAAGAAGAAAGGAAGGAAGGAAGGAAGGATAATAGCAATTGCACTTAGACTTATATACCTCTTCACAGTGCTTTACAGCCCTCTCTAAGCAGTTTACAGAGCATATGGGCCCCCATCAACCTGGGTCCTCATTGGGCAAAACCCACTTAACAAATGTCTTGCTTAGCGAGAGAAATTTGGGATTCAGTTGTGGCCATAGGTCAAGGACTACCTGTAGTGTCGAAACCAGGACAAGACAAGACACAATCCTCTCCATCTGTAGGCAGCTTTAGACACAACATATATGCAGAGAGGTCTGCCCTAATTTTGACGTATCCAGGAACATTATGCCCGTAAACCCATTTGTTTGCTTAGACAGAAGACCGAAGGGAAATATAGTGCAAGTCACAAACGGCAGATAATTTTGGAAAGTCTGGAGGATCCCATTAACGAAACAGTTTGGAAATTAGAGGAGGGAATTAAACTGGCTGGAACAAGACAAATTTACCTTACTGAAAAATGAGCTTGGATATAAGAGGCAATTTCAATAGAGAATTGTCATCAGTTCATGATAAGAAGGATTTTTTTTCCCCCACCCCTTAAGGTCCAAATAAATATATTTTGGCCATATTAAAGGCCATTCTTTGCCTTTTAACAGCCTGCAAAATCAGCCTGGGTATTAAAATAAAAAAATTGCCAGCACAATGTGTTTTTTTTCTTTAAAAGACAGTTAAATGGCATCCTTCCCTCTCTGAAAGCGCCTATCCATTTTCAAAAGACGGTTGGGAAAAATCAGAATTAATTTATCAGGGCTGTGTGCTCTGTTTTGCGTAAAGTCAGGGAAGGCATGCCCACGCATCACAGGCCCCAACACACCCAGCTGAGCAGCACGTAGCCACACACATATATGAATGGAATTATTTACTGGTGCCCTAACTAAAGGAGCTTACTGCAGAAAAAATATGCATAGGATTACATTCAAATATTCTCCGTGGCTCATATTGCATAATTGAAATATGCAACATAGCAGCTGAAACAGCAAAGCTGCATTCCTGGAGAGTGTTGTTGTTGTTGTTGTTGTTGTTTTAATTTGAGACCCCTGTTTAAATCATTCAAGAATTCAGGCACTTTCATAAATACACCATCTGTACAGTTTCCAGTGGATCTAAGACAGTGGTTCTCAACCTTTTTAATGCCGTGACCCCAACCGGTCGTAAGTTGAGGACTAAACCGGTCGTAAGTCAAGGACTAAACCGGTCGTAAGTCGAGGACTACCCAACCGGTCGTAAGTCGAGGACTTTCCCTGCCCGGGAATGCCGCGCATGCGTGGTTCCGCCCCCTGCGCCGGCCGAGGCGTAGCTGGCAAGCGGCAGAGACGGAGCAGGCCGACCACCAGCTGGCCCAGCCCAAGGGAGGTAAGGCATCCGCCGGAAAAGGGGGAAAAAAATGGCGGACAAAAAAAAATGGCGGACAAAAAAATGGCGGACAGCCTTGCTTGGCGACCCCCATGAAATGGTCGATCGACCCCAAATGGGGTCCCGACCCACAGGTTGAGAACCACTGATCTAAGAGATAATCCAGCCTGCCTATCTCCTGCGGTGCAGGAATCTACTAATCCCTCCTTCCTGATGAATTTCAGTTGAGTTCTAAGCCGTGGCAGTGAATGGATGATAAAAGGGATAGTAGCAAAACCCGGATATATGTGCAAAGTTCCCAACTGGGTGATGCTTAAGCCAGCTCATCGGTTCATGCTTAGTGTAAAGAAAAGGCAAATTTTGTCACAAACGGAGTTCCCGTGTTCGTGATGACTTACAGCGTCCCAATAGGTTTCCCGGCTGATGTGAGTGTTGTAACTGATGAGAAGAACACTAAGAATAGAGATCTCCTCGGAGTTGGAGGCCACGTAACCCCTCCAAACTCAGCCTCACCCCTGTGTGGCCTCCTTGCATGTTGTGGTTTCTCCACTGCTTCCCCTGTTCAACGTGGGCTTCTCGGTCACCATGAGGTTGCAGTGCACATGGTGACCTAATGACAGCCTGCTGACAAACCAGGAATAAGGGAAATTGCCCCGTGGGTTTCAGTGACTCAAAGTGAAACTTTACGGAGAAAAGTTCCCCTTCTCTGTTTCCTCCTTCGGTGGGCCACGCGCCCTTAATGTTGGCTCTGTGGGCAAGGCGGCATGTTGTCATGATTTGACATCAAACATAGTGAAATAGAAGTTCCCCTCCTACTCCAGAACGCCTCATCTTGATCTGAAGTCAGATGCTGAGATCTTGAAGGAGAGAGAGAGAGAGAGAGAGCGTGGCTCCGGTCTGAGATAAGAGGGTATTTAAATAATCTGGCAGGGGATCCTTCAGAAGGCAGAAGGTGCCCTGTTTTGAGAGGAAGCTTTTACACCGAGTGAAGTGGGCTCTTTAGGTACAAGTATGTGCACAGGTAAAGCAACAGGGTTGCAGGAGGAGAATATATCATTTCAGACTGCTGACAGACTCAAGCAAACAGGGGGGCACTGCTCTTGAATCATCCAGCCATTTTTGTCTTTCTTTCTTTCCTTCTTTCTTTCTGCCTTTTCTTAAGAAGTGGGTTGGGAGCTGTATGACAATAATTAATGAGCCCAAATCAAACAATACTTTTCCCTTTCCTTCCTTCCTTCCTTCCTTCCTTCCTTCCTTCCTTCCTTCCTTCCTTCCTTCCTTCCTTCCTTCCTTCCTTCCTNGTCTGTCTGTCTGTCTGTCTATCTATCTATCTCTGTATGCCTTAATGTCTATCTTTATCCATCCATCTATCTATCTATCTATCTATCTATCTATCTATCTATCTATCTATCTATCTATCTATCTATCTATCTATCTATCTATCTATCTATCTATCTATCTATCTATCTATCTATCTATCTATCTATCTATCTATCTATCTATCTATCTATCTATCCATCCATCCATCCATCCATCTATCCATCCATCCATCCATCCATCCATCTATCTATCTATCTATCTACCTGTCATCTATCATCTCTATCTCTATGTATCGTCTGTCTGTCTGTCTGTCTGTCTGTCCGTCCGTCCGTCCGTCCGTCCGTCCGTCCGTCCATCCATCCATCCATCTATCACATTTTAAAACTTCCCATCTTCCTCACTGAGGGACGCTGGACATCAGTGTTGGACCCGAGGCCTAGGCTGTTATCCTTCCAAGGGCAAATGTAGATAGATATATAGTATAGTTTCATGTAGAGGTAATAGGTGTAGGTATGTATAGGTTGATCTCTTAGTTAGATCCCAGCTGTGGACTGTTGAGAAGGAACCTTATACCCCCACTGAGAAGACCACTGTTTGGCCTAGTGGTTAGAAGGCAAGAGTCAAGTCCCGCCTTAGACATGAAAGCCGGCTGGGTGACTTTGGGCCAATCACCAGGAGACGGTGAGTTCTAATCCTATATGAGCATGAAAGCCAGCTGGGTGATCTTGGGCCAGTCACACACTCTCAATCCAGGCCACCTCACAGGGTCGATCTGCTAATCTATCAACTTTGAAGACTTGCTTAGATGTTTACCTTGCAGAGAATACAAATATCAGCATAAATGCAAATGTCAGTTATTCCTTAGATTGCTCATTACGAATGAAGGATATATATCATAAGCCTTGTTTTATAAGTGCGTTTTTAAGAGGTGGGAACAATGGGTAGATGTAATAATCTAAACACCAGGGCGAATGCCTTAAATTTGCCTAGCTCTCTGTTTGTTCACTCACTGAATCTATTTTCCCAGGAAATCTACAACACCGAATCTTCAGAGGTGTCAGAAGAGAAGAAAGAGAAGAAAAGGACTACAAGCAAAACAGGGTATTGGATTAAAAAATGCAGAATTATAAAAAAACCCAAATCTATTTCCGATTAACATATTGTTGTTGTTAGTTGCGAAGTCGGGTCCGACCCATCGCGACCCCATGGACAACGTTCCTCCAAGCCTTCCTGTCCTCTACCATCTTCTGGAGTCCATTGAAGCTCACGCCTACTGCTTCAGTGACTCCATCCAGCCCCCTCATTCTCTGTCGTCCCCTTCTTCTCTTGCCCTCCATCTTTCCCAGCATCAGGCTCTTCTCCAGTGAGTCCTTCCTTCTCATTAGGTGGCCAAAGTACTTGAGTTTCAACTTCAGGATCTGGCCTTCAAGGAGCAATCAGGTTAACATTTTACACACTAATTATAAACGAGTCTCTTCAGGCTACTGCCTCATCCAGGCCAGGCCAGAGTCTTTAGATAAATGATGAGGGATGTGGCAAGAAAGGTTTTTTTCTGTAGATTAAGGATTGAGCCCAAAATTTAGATTGCTAAATGAGAAACGTGTTCATTGAGTTGTGCCCCATTTTACGACTTTTCCTTGCCACATTTCTAAAGGGAATCACTGCAGTTCTTAAATTAGGAACATGGTTATTCGGTCAATCGGGTTTCCCTGTTGACTTTGGTCACCAAGGCTGGATTAGAAGATCACTAAGGTCCCTTCCAGTCTTAGGATTCTATGATTCTATGACTCAACAGGGCTTCAGGTAGAACCCAAAACAAGTACAGTAAATAAACAACCCACATAGTGACGCCTCAGTATAGAAATAGCCTTTTCTAGACTTTGCTAATAGGAACAAAGTCACCTTCTGCATTGCTGCCCGGATGTTATTGTTCTCTTCTTCTGGAGCTCATTTCTAAGTGTCTGGTAGGAAGGAAGGAAGATGATCAGCATCTGTTTTGTTATGTTTGGGTTAGAGGAGGTGTGCTTACATTTTTATGCCAAGTTAAAGGAAAGAAGCAACAGGATGCCTGCTGCTAATTCAGTTTCCTCCAAGGGACATGGGCTGAAATAACCGTATGTATTTTTTAGCTTCTTGTGTCGTTTGAGCTCGCTTCTCTTCCTGTGGACATTATGGGGCTAAGTAATTATCATCAGTTTCTGATCCAGCTAATGAAACATCTTCAGATTATTTCAAGGAATGCTAAGAACACAACTGTTCAACTGCGTATACTGTGTTTTCCACGAGGGCAGTCTTATCTACGTGTGTCCTTGAATTTCTCTTCTGGAAGAGTTAAAGATATGACGTGGAGTCTGGCTAACGCTAAAACTCTCTTCTCTTTGTCAGGGACAAAACATTTGATAAGATATTTGGGTGAAACAAACCGTCTTCCTGGAATGGTTAAGTTGTAGAATTTTGGAATATAGCTTGGATGTTTTTTTGTAGGCTTAAGTCATGAACCCACTGTTTTACTCCCATCGCTGATTGCCTGTAGCTGACAAAGACCAAATACTTCATAGAAAATCCATAACATCTTAAATGAGACTTTGATTTCAGTTAGTTTTCTTACAAAGTCATGGCTAATGCAGGACTTCCAAAGAAGATTAGTCGGAGTGAAGATGGTAGAGTCAAAATTGGACCGCTAACAAATTCTTAGAAGTCTGGACTGAGCCACATGGCCACAGATCTGGGTACCACAGGTTAATACGGTCAGGAAAGATTACCTCCGATTCCGACTTTCCTTCTTGCCTACTCTTTTGAATCGTGTTGTGGTGAAGTGAGGCTAAATAAGTGGTCCAGATAAAAATTGTGCAGCTGAAAGAGCAGCTCAGTGGAATTCTGCTGGCTGTGTATTTCTCATCTGTTAATGCAGCCTAGCACTGTGTTGGCTTTTTTGGCAGCTGCAGCACACGGCTGGCTCCTATTTAAGTGATTTTCCACTAGGACTCCGAGATCCCTCTCACAGTTACTACTATTGAGCAAGGTACCCCCTATACTATACTTGTGCATTTGGTTTTTCTTGCCTAAATGTAGAACCTTGCTTTTTCCACCCTTGAATTTCATTTTGTTAGATAGCGCCCAGGGTTCAAGTCTATCCAGATCCTCCTGTATCCTAAGCCTGTCTTCTGGGGTGTTGGCTATTCCTGCCAGCTTGATGTTGTCTGCATATCTGATGGGTTCCCCATCTATCCCCTCGTCCAAATCCTTGATGAAGATGTTGAAGAGCCCTGGGCCCAGTTCACCAGCTAATCCTGGGTTTGACGGGAAGGTAGAAAGCAATGACAGATCCCTTGTGTTTTAATCAGCAGGAAAATCACACCACAAAAGCACCAGCATCTCTTTGGAACCAAATGGGTCGGTGGAAGTAACACTATCTTTTTTCCCCCCCCCCCTCTCTTTTTTTTTAATTCTTCTTTAGTTTGGCTACTAGTAATCAAAATCCAGAAACCGCCGAAAATGAAAAAGACCCTGAATTAGCATCCCAAGGAGACCAAAGTCCCTTTCCAAAGAGATTTGTCGGTGAAGCTGAATCCGCTTTATTGAAGGAATGTTCTCGCTACGCTTGGAGAGGGAAATATAAACCTGCAAAAGGCCTCGGAGAATTCAAAAGCGGAAGTCTGGATCTGGATGCTAAAGACCAGATGTTTTCTTCCCCGGCTGATTGTGGTGATGAATTAGTCCCCGGCTCCAACGACACAATCACACCTTATGCCTGCTATTACGCTCCGGCAGCAAAGAAAGTTAAAGAAGGATGGCTGGATAAACTCTCTCCTCAAGGGTACGTAGCCGAAGAAGAGTCAACGATCAGATTTTACGGACTATAGAGAGCCAGTTTGGTCTACTGGTTGAGGCACCAGGCTGGAAACTAGGTGACAGTGAGTTCTAGGACCATCTTGGACAGGAAAGCAGATTGGGTGATTTTTGAGTCAATCATCAGGAAATGGTGAGTTTTCGCCCAGCCCTCGGGCGTGAAAGCTGGCTAGTTAACTATGGGTTGATTACCAGGAGACGGTGAATTCTAGTATCGCCTTAGGCATGGAAGCAGCTAAATGACTTTGGGTCAATCACCAGGAGATAGTGAGTTCTAGTATCGCCTTAGGCATGAAAGCAGCTAAGTGACTTTGGGTCAATCACCAGGAAATGGTGAGTTCTAGTATCACCAAAGGCATGAAAGCAGCTAAGTGACTTTGGATTAATCACCAGGAGATGGTGAGTTCTAGTATCGCCTTAGGCATGAAAGCAGCTAAGTGACTTTGGATCAATCACCAGGAAATGGTGAGTTCTAATATCACCAAAGGCATGAAAGCAGCTAAGTGACTTTGGATTAATCACCAGGAGATGGTGAGTTCTAGTATCGCCTTAGGCATGAAAGCAGCTAAGTGACTTTGGATTAATCACCAGGAGATGGTGAATTCTAGTATCGCCTTAGGCATGAAAGCAGCTAAGTGACTTTGGATCAATCACCAGGAGATGGTGAGTTCTAGTCCAGTCTCAGGCATGAAAGCTGGCTAGTTAACTATGGGTCAATGACCAGGAGACGGTGAATTCTAATACCGCATTAGGCATGAAGGCAGCTAAGTGCTTGTTAAAAAGCTTCAGTCACATGGTTCTGGCCGATACGTGTTCTGCATCTCCCTGAAGGTGTGACGTTGCAACCCCTTTATTGTGAAGGTTGAATAACAAGAGGAAGTCTTTGGCTATTTTTGCCTTCTGTAGACCTCACTGACTAGACGGGACAGGAAATTTGTCTAGCAGTTCCCCTCCTCCCTCCCTCCCTCCCTCCCTCCTCCCCTCCTCCTTGTCCTCCTCCTCCCTGTCCTCCTCCTCCTCCTCTCTGTCCTTGTCCTTGTCCTCCTCCCCCTTCTCCTCCTCCTCCTCCTCGTTTTTTTCAAATTGCTTTTGACTTTCTTCCCATGTAGGAAGCACGTTTTTCAGAAACGCTGGGTGAAGTTTGATGGCGAAAGCATGGCTTATTATAATAACGACAAGGTAAGTCTCTTTGCGTTAAAATAGTATACATTCCACTCTGAGCAACCTACCAGTGTGGACTTAGCCATAGACAACTACTTACACATAGGTTTTGGGTAGCAATGTCGCTCATGATCTGATCCTCATTCTCCCTGAAGGAACAAGGCAGTTATTAGATGGAGGCGGTAAGGAATATGAATTAACCTTAGCCCTCCCTCCCTCCCTCCTCCCCTCTCATCCCTTCATCTCCCCTCCTCCTTTCTTTCCTCCCTCCCCTCCCCTCCTTCCTTTTTTTCCTCTCCTTCCCCCTCCCCTCCT